GGTGATTACAGAGAGGATAGAGCTAGACTGTTCCCAGTGGTGGTGGATGACAGAATAAGGAGCAATGGTCTCAAGTTGCAGCAAGGGAAGTTTAGGTTAGATATTAGGAAAAAACTCTCATTAGGAGGGTAGTAAAGCACTGGAACAGGCTACGCAGAGACGCTGTGGACCCTCCATTCTTGGAGATTTTTAAGACCTGGCTAGACAAAGCCTTGGCTGGGATGACCTAGTTGGGGATAGTTCTGCTTTCTTTGAGCAGGGGGTTGTACTAGATGACCTCCTGAGGTCCCTTCCAACCCTAATTTTCTATGATTCTCAGTAGCATAGTGACAGGAAGGGCTTGTGGGGGGAGGGGGACAGCACTGGCTGGGCCATCCAGGAATACTCGGCGCCCCAGGAGCACTTCCGGTTTCATACTGGCACTTCCAGTTTTGCCACCCACACTTCCGGGCTTGGCAATCGGCAACTGGGGGATTCCTCCCCCCTCTGCCCCACACTCAACAATCGGCTGCAGGGGGGAGAAGGGAGTACAAATGGATGCTAGAGACCCACGCTATGCCACTGATTATTCTAATAGGCAACATGTGCTTTACCAAAAGAAGCAGATCAGCTGTGTTGGGACACATCCTAACATGAACAATGAAGTGCTAATACATACCTACTAGCTATTCTTAGGTTAGAAACAGACATCACCAAATGAAGCAGATCAGCTCTGCTGGGATGTGTCTTGGCCTTGTTGCTGTCCTACCACACTAAGAAGTTCCTGCCTGCTCACCCTGGCTATCTCCTGGGATGGCGTACTTCCTGGACACTCTGGGAATTTTTACACGTGCTCTGGGAGACACTTTAATTAGCAAGCCGTGCTAATTAAAAGCTCCCAATCATTACATATATCAGTGTCCCCGCACTGAAAAAATGGTGGTGGGACCACCTCGTTTGACGAGCTTTACTTCAAACTGCCCTGCTGCCATTTTTCAGAGCGGGGACACTGATACATGTGACGCTAGAGCAGGAGTGGGCAAAATGTGGCCTGTGGGTCAGATGCAGCCCACCAGGCCATTCTATCCAGCCCGTGGGGCCCCTAAAAAATTTAGAAAATTAATCTTTATCTGCCTCTTCCTGCCTGTCATGCAGCCCTCAATGGCTTGCCAAAACTCAGTAAGCGGCCCTCCACCTGAAATAATTGCCCACCCCTGAGCTAGAGTCTGCTGGAGAAAGTTAAATCCAGCAGACTTGATTAATCAAGTCAGTTCTGACATGCTGGATTTCTAGTGCATCGGAGCAGGCTCCCTGCACGTGTATATGAGCCCTTAATGTTTCCAGGAGGACCAACTTTATGTCACAGTTGGCCATGACTCTGGAATCTGTTTTTTGTACGTTCTGCCTTCCAAAAGCAAGATGCATGTCTTATTTGGCGGCATGTGGTACACAAAAAAATATGCTACTAGTTATTTTAAATGGCACGGTCATTTCTAGATAAAAGCCAAGATCCCTCTTTACATCTATCATCTACACCCAAGGCTTTATAGCAGGGATAGGCAACCCCTGGCATGAATGCCAGTGTGGCATGCAAAGGCATTTTGCTTGGATCATGTGCCTCTGGCTGGAGGGTGGGGAAGTGGCCAGATCTGCACTGCCACAACAAGGATTGGACCCCTCATGGTTCCCATGCCATCTGCCCCTGCCCACCAACATCTTATGAGTCAAGGTTGCAAGTGTTTTGGGCACTCTGCCCAAAACCACTGCCTGCCCCTGTTTTATAGAATGAGAATGGAATACAAAGAGAAAGCAGTGAAGAAGGGATATTTTTAACTGTAATGAGTAGACAGTTCTCTTATACAAGCTTTGATAAAGAAGGGTTAAACTCTGTACTTCAAAGGGAAGGAAGGCTCAAGATGGAGATCGCCTTTTACCAGTGGCCTGATAGGTTTTTTTTTTCCCCTCATAGCATTTCAGACTGTAGCTTTCCTCTTGAGAGTGGAGATGGTCCACATTAGTGAATGGATTATTATCATTCACACTATGGAGATCTCTGGTCAGCAGCATATATGGATACCAGCGTTGCTGAGGCTGCTAGAACTACTTATGTAATTTATAACTTTGTCTCAGTTGACCTTCCTCATGATAAAGAATAAAAAAAGGCATGCGAGGGATAGCATGAAAGAGATTGATAGCACTAGTCCAGAAGAAATGCATCTATCTGAGAGAGAACTACTGTCCCTAGACACTGACAGTACACATGGTTTTTGGTGGAAACAATATTTGTTTGGAAGGAGAGAGAACCTGTGAAAAACAGGCATACAAGGGCTTTAAAGAACACTAATGTTGATCTTCAGACCTGAAGAGAATCTGGTTTCCTATGTGCCTAAAAGTTTTCTTGTTTCCAAAGATAAAGGCTAAGTATGCACTCCTCTCTGATTCCTGATATATGATATCACATAAGATCATGATATAATCTAAAACAGCCTATACTATATGAGGCTTTAAGGATAGGTGAGGAAAGATTGCAGTCTCACTATCCTGCCTTGAGCTCCAGCATGTTGATGTGGAGTCTGTGGCTTGGAAGTGTTGGCAATAATCATAACACTACAATGGAAGGTGCTGATGGCAGCTGCGTTGGCAGGCATGTTAAGGGAGTAAACAGGTCTCACACCAGCAAAATTGTTCAAATACTCCAGGACAGACAGTTAGGCTCCTCTGAAGGCTGAATACATCCAGGACTTACTGACCCCCCACCACTCCGAGCTGCAAGGGTCTTGTGTTCAAATAAGCAAAGTTTCTATCAGGCCTAGTAATTTTAAGAAAAAACTGTGTTATCTGTGCCAGATGCTTCTTAAGTGCTAATCAGGGAGCCTGTAAAAATCTCTCTTCTGAAAGGGCTATGGTCCGAGTCAGATCAAGGAACGCCCCAGTGAAGGTGATCCTTTGTACTAACTGTAATATGACTTTTTTTCCCAGTTGAATAACAATCCCAATGACTGTAGGAGGCTGAGAGAAATCCTGCTGAGAGTGGCCCTTTGGAACCGGTCATCCAGGTATGGGTAGACAAAACATACGTATAATGGACACATCAGTGTGTGTGTCCATTATAACTACGATAGACAGAAAGTATAAAAACAACGTAGCTGTACACTTTCTAAATTTCTGTTTTCTTGTTTTTGTCATTTTCATCTTCGTATTTTTTACTCATTTCTTTTTCCATTTTCAGTTCTTTCCCAACTTCTCATTTTCTTTGTTTCTTTATGGTTTTGTATCCTATTTTATTTTCTGGGTGCCTTCCTATAGTTTCCTTGATCTCCTCCAATCTTCATTTAGCTTTTCCATTTTTATTTCTTTCTCTAGGCCTAACTGTCTCTTCTCATTCCCTTCTGGCCCCACAAACTAATCATTTTCTTCAAGCAGCCTTCTTCCCTTCAAAAAACCTTCCAACTTCCCCTGTTTCCCCAAGATTTCACCCCAATCCCCACACCTCACCCTCTTTTCCCCATGAAAAGCCACAGGTCATGCAATACAATTTTTTTTCCAAGTGTGGTCAGACCTCAACTATCACTGCTATCCTCTTTTCTGAAACACTGCTTTTCCAGAGGAGGGAAGAAAAGCTCCTGAGCCCCCTTCCCTCTATTTCAAATCCAAAACCTATTGATTATACCCGCAAAATGAAGAAGAAATTCAGAGTCCAAGTAACTGCCACAATAAGGCCCCAGAAAAATTAAAATACTGTCAGGCTGTGCTAGCTCTTCTTAATATTCCTCTGTAGGTTCTCGTCTTCCACTTTTGACATATCACTGTGTAAAGCAACCAACTGCCCTGAATTTTCCTGGACAGTGTCAGGTTTCAGGTCTGTGTCCCAGTGCCCCTGAAATTACATTTTTGTCCCAGATGCACTATTCTTTGCAACACAACTAATTAGATTGCCTACAGTACTACACTAAATCCACTACACTGACCAAAAATGTAAGTGGTATAGACACTTCTGGTTCCAGGTGCCTATCATGCACCTAAGATCTGCTGACCTGCCACAATTTTAGCCAAAATTGATTTTGTACCCAAAAGTTGGTTGCTTTGTCTCTATGTGAGATCCCCTCCCCCCGACACTGATCTGGAACAGGGACATCAAACTCATCTGCCCTATGGCCTGAACCAGTGCATACAGGACCTGCCTCTGGGCTGCTATCCAGAGCAAGTGTCACATGTGGTACAGCCCGGGACCCAGCCCCAGTGAGCACCAAGTTCTGCAGTCCAGGACTGGAACCTGGTTCCAGTGAAGTGTAGGCAGCATAGCCCAGTGCCCAGCCCCAGTGAGTACCACAGGCAGCACAGCCTGGGATTCACACCCACCCCAGTAGTGCTGCAAGCAGCACAGACTGGGACCCAACCCGAGTGAGTGCCACATGTGTGCAGGGTTGATTTGGAAAGGTGCATGGGTCAATGAGGCAGCACTGGGGCTCTGGTTGCCAGACCTAGCCTTCAGTCTGTATGTTTAACATCCCTGATATGGAAGAACATGCTGAGTGCCACTGAGCAGAGGCGCAAAGGTATCTGAAGTGTATCGGCACCAGGAAAAAAAACAAATCTTTTCTTACTTAGCTTTAAAACATGCAAGTGACAAAGCCTAAAGTTTACTTCATTCTGTTAACATGTGATAACAACACCAACTTTCCCTTTACTAGGATTTTATCTCATTTTAATTGCCATGTGTTAGGTAATTCAAGTTTAAAACATCTCTTTTTTCTTAGTGAAGACTATCCCTGACTCAAACTATAATTAACTGTCCTCTACCTGGTTTCACTAGTCAAACCAAAACTATTCTGCTTTTGCTATAGTGTCATATCTACCACCCTACAAACAAGAGTAAACCTAACTGTTGGTGATAATTACTATGCTAAATATGCTTAGTTCATGACAACTCAACAAAGTGTTTTGCTGGCTTCAAATAATAAAATTCTTAAAAGGAAAATGCAGAAGGGTAAATATAAATTAATATAAAGATGCATACTTACTGTTACTCGTTGGTTCAGGATACCCAGTAGTTTGACCGTTCCAGCCCTTATTTTCCCCTGGCTGGAAAAAGAAGAAGAAATAAAGGACAAAACATATATTTAAAAAAATACACACACACACGTTAATTTTGCTCACAGGATATTTAACAAGTGACTGTGGGGACGCAGTCAGGAAGGCTAACCAACCTTGTCATGCATCCACAGATGCATTACAAGCAGGTCCAAGGAGGTGATCCTCCCACTCTATGCAACATTGGTCAGGCTGTAGTTGGAGTACTGTGTCCAGTTCTGGGCACCGCACTTCAGGAGAGATGTGGACAACATGGAGAGGGTCCCAAGGAGGGCCACTTGCATGATCAGGGGGCAGCAGGGCAGGCCCTACGAGGAGAGGCTACGGGACCTGAACCTGTTCAGCCTCCACAAGATAGAGGGGAAGGTTGAGAGGGGATCTGGTGGCTGTCTACAAACTGGCCAAGGGAGACCAGCAGGCAATGGGAGAGTCCCTGTTCCCTCGAGCACTACTGGGAGTAACAAGGAATAATGGCCATAAGCTGACAGAGAGTAGATTCAGGCTAGATATCAGGAGGCGCTACTTCACTGTCAGGGCGGCTAGGATCTGGAACTAACTTCCAAGGGAAGTGGTGCTCGCTCCTACCCTGGGGGATCTTCAAAAGGAGGCTGGATGAACACCTTGCCAGGGTCATTTGACCCCAGCATTCTTTCCTGCCCATGGCAGGGGGTCGGACTTGATGATCTGCTCAGGTCCCTTCTAACCCTACCAACTATGAAACTGTGACTGCTGGGATTCACAGGCACATGGACACAGGTTCTACCATCCTGCCTATTCAACTTTGCTAAACCACTTTCATTTTGACCTAAGATAGGTTCTTCCAGTACTAAATCTTCCCATAAACATTACCAGCTCCTGACCAAAACTAATGATAGTGATGTGAGCAACATTTCCTCAGGTACTTGGCTCAGATAGGGAGTTGCTTAAATTTCTGGTTATCTACAAATATAAACCAAAATGTCCCAAGATACAATCTCTGGGGTGCTGCAGTGCAGTGTCTTAGTGGCACAATCTAGTCCTCAATATAAAAAATGACACAGTGGAATAGACCAGACTAGCCTGATACCTTGTCTATAGATAAAGGTACAATATTGTCATGGGGCACCTATAATAATTGAATGCCATATATTGTGTAATTTGGTATATAATTATAATTACATGCTGTAATTATGTAATATTATCCCAGATAGGAATCAGTGTATACCCTGGGACAGGAGCAGTGATGACCCTTACAGTCTGCATTACCATAGCTAATACATCTAAGCAGCTATATTGAGAAGTTTAATGGGTCCAATACTGGTGATCTAACATTTTATTCCTATGCCAAAATAGAAATAAATGCTGTCATGACCCAAAGGGTATGACTGTGTGCGTGCTTCGGCACTGCCGAATTATTTCCTGCCTCATGAAGCTTTCTTTGCACAGTGCAATTCTCAGCTGCAGAGAGAAAACCCCGGTGCAAAGGAGTTCCCGCCGCTCGCATGCAAATTTGTGTCCCATTATTGGCTATTTCTAAATTATTCCCACGTGGCGGCTAGCGATTGGCTTGCTAGCCGTATAAGAGGCTTGAGCAGTTTCCGCCCAAGTCTGAGATCTCCGAGAATCTCAGGAGGATCCTGAGAACCCCGATTCCGAGAATTCAGGGAGAAATCCAAGAGAATTCCAGCAAGGAGTCCACGATTACCTCGTGGACTTCTATGTAAATCTCAGATTGAATGGTGGTTTGATCAGCCATCAAGAGCCTCTCCCAATTGCCACACGATCCCTCCACGTACCCTACCCTGCGCGCTCGTGGAGAGTCACCTTTCGGACTCTCATTTCGGTCGTTCCACGGAGCCTAGCAAACTCCGTGACTGGTATCCAGAGCTCTGTTCGTGTTTGTTTTGTGGAGCCTAGCAAACTCCACGTGTGTCTTTTTGTAACTGCAACTCAAGAAAGTTTTCCTGCCTGCACCGCGACCACCTACGGTGTAAGTAAAATAATCTTTAATCAACCTCTACGCGTCAGTGCCTAATTCTAGTTCGCCGTGCCGGCCTTT